CTTGTTTTTTTCTCTTCCTCTCCACTCCACTCACCAAAGAAAAATCCACATCTTCCTTCTTTTGTGTTCTAAATAGAGTAAAGGGCTGAACTTCAGTTTGCATCTCGAAATGAAATACCAAAGAATTCCCTACTGACACTCCCAAACAGAAGTCACTTTCTAGGGTGATCAGAAGGAAAGTGGGTGTGTCGCTCTCTCCCATCCCTGATCGTGGGGGGCTGTCCCATTGTGCCGACAAGTCTTCTCATTTCTGCTGTCTGTTTTTGTATCAGCCCTAGAAGAGAAAGTCCCCGTCAGAAGGGACCCGGAACCAAGGAGACCCGTCCTGTTCCTTGTGGGGCTGATCCTCGTGCTGATTGTCAGCCTGGCCCTGGTCTCCTTCGTGATCTATCTCATTGGTAAGGACCTGGCTCATGTCTGTCACTCTTCATGGGCATTCATCTCGAAGCTGGTTCAGCTCTGCCTCTGGAATATCCTAACCGTTCGATTTCTTACTCGGAGGCGCTGATTGTTCTATGGGCAGGGGTGGGGGGTGGGGTGGGGTGGGGTGGGGATAGCTTTGTCTAATTCTGGGTCTTCACCCCAAACCTTGCTTTCTCCACTAATTCAGATCTGTCACATCTAATCACCATCAGGTTTCAAGTTCTTCTCCAGTGGGTCTTACTCCAGGAGAGGCACTGTGGGCTGTGGACAGTCCTGGGGAGCATGTTGAGTCTGTGATAAGGTCTTCCCAGTGACCACTGACTGGTCTGGAAGCCTGCTTCTGAACTTCATTCTTCGGCCTGGCTCTCCCATGTTGGTCTTGCCTATGAATGGTGACCTGGGCCTAGCCAGGCCTTCCCATTCCTGCGAGGTCTCCATACACCCCTGATGGCACCCCTTTAGTTCCTTCCCACCTTCTGACTCCTGGAGGGGCCCAGTTCACAAGCGATGCCATCCCTCCTTTTGCCATCCTTCCTCCCCCCATGATCCTCCCAACAAGCATATCCTGGAGTATCTGGTGCTCAACTGGAGAAGGCGTGAACCCAAACCTGCAGGTCTGGAAAGAGCACATAGATGACACTTATGAAATGTTAGACCAACTTCAACAGATGCTGTGTATAACCACCATGCCTCATGGCTTCTGTGGGCAATGACTGAGTTAAGTCACAGGGAACCACAGTGGGAATGGCCTACACTCATGGGGAACGACTGAAAAGAACTTCTTTCTTGAGTGGGCTCTGTAATGAAATCCAGGGCAATGATCATTAACAATGCCCTATGATGGCTTTGACTCAGGCATTGCTTTAAGCCCTTGTTTTCTGTTTGCCCATAACTTGCCAGCCCTTCTTTAGCACAAAACTTCTTGTTATTCTGCTATTGCGGACACTGAAATGAGCGAGATGAAGTAGCATGCCCAAGTCACATGAGGCATCGAAGTGTTGAATCAGTGCTCACACACACTTAAGGATATCAAAGACTCTGCCCTTTATTATCACACCTTCTGTAAAAATAGGATTTATTTTCCATTTAGTTCTAGAGTTTTATATTTGAACGAAAAGTCATATTAAGGAAGAAACAAAGAGCATGTGAGTAAAAAAGGATGTCTTTTTATTAAACAGTTACTCTGCCAGACACTAAATTCCTTATTTGAATCTTCTCTCTAACTCCTTAGGGTAGTGTCTGATATTTGTGCTTTCCTAATGAAAGACTAAGCCCTAGCCCCCCTCTATTTACCACTATGAACCTGGCTAATCAGACAGCAGAGCTGGGAGTCACACCCAAGAGCTTGGCCTCCAGAGTTCCCCAAAATAGAAGTAAGAATAAAGGCTGCCTGGGGCTTTCAGACAAACCCTAAACCGATGTAAGACCAGAGCTGCCGCTGACAGTTATGAATGAGTCTGACTTATGCTCATCTTTAACAAGAAAACCTTGTTTTTAAGAGGAGACATGAAAATTTGTATACTTTTAACTAGTGCAGAATTTGCATTCCTTATAATTCTGGATTTTTGTGTATCCATGGTGTGTGTATGTGTGTGTGTGCTGAAAATCAAATCCAGGCTATAATTCTGGCATTTTTTTATATGTAAGGAAAATAAGATCCTCTTATACTGATTACATTCTCATCAAACCATTAGCCTTATGTTGGATTGCTATGTTTTTTTTTTTTTTCTGGCCCAGGAAGCAATTATCCAGAGAATGTTCTGGAGAATTCTAGGTGCCAGGGATATTATCATTATTACTTTAAGATAAAAAAAAAAGTGGTGGTAATTCTGCTGTCAAATAAGTTTGAAAATCGCTGGATTAAGTAATGCCTAAAGTGCTTTTTCACTGCTTATGAAGTTCCAGGAGGCATTCTCTCTTTCTCTCTCTCTTTCTCTCTCTCTCTCCTTCCTTTCTTCCTTTCTTTCTTTCTTTCTTTCTTTCTTTCTTTCTTTCTCTCTCTTTCTTTCTTTCTTTCCTTTCTTTCTCTCCTTCCTTCCTTCCTTCCTTCCTTCCTTCCTTCCTTCCTTCCTTTCTCTTTCTCTCTCTCTCTTTCCTTCCTTCTTTCTTCCTTTCTTCCTTCCCTTTTTCTTTATTCCTCTCTTTCTCTCTTTCTTTCTCTTTATATTTAACTTGAAACCAATGTGGAATAAAACAAAATGGGCATGACTGCTATTTCCTTCTGTTTCACTCATGAAGGAAGGTCCCTGAAAGGGCAGAGAATGTCACATGGCATGAATTTCTGACATTTCACACTTTTTGCCAAAAGCAATAGGAATCTCTGTCTCACTCTGCAGCAAAGCAAAATTAAGATTCTTCTCATATGTCTTGCACCTTACTTGCTAACAGAAAGTTTTAGGCATGGGAAGGAGCAACTCTGGGTAACAATTCATCCCTGATCTGGAAGGTAAAACATTAATATCTAGTTTAGCTTCCATTTGAGCTTATCAACTAAGTCCAGAGGCATGTTAGCAATGTTATCAGTTCCGGAAAGATAATTTGGAAGAAAACTTACCTAAAATGGAAAGGATAAGGTCAAATACTGACCAAGCTCTGACTTTTTTTTTCTACGATTCTTAGGTATTTTAACTCATAAATTTTCTCAAAATCCCTAGATGATTCTATTACCAGGGACTCTGTCTATTTGAAAAATATTGTCCTTCTGCTCTCAGGGTGGTCTGAGTGGGAATTATTACACATTCATTGTAGGCCATCAGTGCTATGCCAAAATATGTTGGGATTAACACACACACACACACATACATGCACCCCAATCCTGCCCCTACCCCCCCGAAAAAACCCAACTTATTTCTAAAATGAGGAGCATAAACCCTTTTTCTGCAAATGGATCTCAAATGAGACATTCTAGTTGTTTCTCTGGGGATAATCAGGCATACTGGTTGGTTCTCTTCATAGCTCTCAAACAAAATTTTTGCCAGTGTTCTGCTAAAGTCTAAGCTGGTGCCAAGTTTGTAAAAAGTTATTTATCTGATAGGAAACTTCAATCTTCAACAGTTTTTTTTTTTTTCCTGGGGCTTTGGAATTTTGGAGTAGGATATTTTTCAAGAAGGCCTTCCAATGGACTCTGCATGAAACTAATGTACTATGGTCTATTTTCCATTTTGAAGTTCAAACTGGAAACCAGATGGATGACGTGTCAAGAAGACTCACAGTTGAGAAAAAAGACATAGATGATCTTAAGAAACTCAACAGCCTGATCATAACGCTACTCAACCAGCTGGACTCTAAACAAAACTAAAGAAGTGATCTTCTAAGAACAACAGTTAACTCCCTAATGAATTTCTCACGATTCTGGGTTTTCAGGGGGTGAAGAACAGAGCGAATGTTTCCATAGACAACAGATTCTTGGACTGTGCACTCAGTTCTGGGCTCGGCTGTTTGTTCCAGAGATGGGTGTGACTCCAAAGCAAGGGGACGAGGACACAGGGGCCAGCAAGAGATTGATTTCATGGTAGGACCGTTCACTTATTGCAGCTAAGGGCGGAAGGCATAAAAGACAACCAACAGTAAGCAAGAGAGCTCAGCTGTATTTGTACACATTCTTTTTTTTTTTTTAAGAGCTTTGTCACTAGGATAAATTCTCTGTGCCAGTGAAGTTGATGGTGCCTCAAGCATCTTTACCAACTCCTGAGAAATTGTCAAGAATTCATTGAATTCTTAATGTTCAAAGGTGTCAAGTGATAACACCTTTTAATTAAAGAGATTATGCTCAATTTATTTCTCCAGGGACAGGGGTGATCAGATTTCAGAGACAGTTACTTCCTGGTATTAGCTAGTAGTAGTTATTTGAGTTTGAGGAGGGGAATACTAACAGTTATTATTATTGGTGTTGGAGATAATCCCAGGACCTCATACATGCAAAATATATGCTGTGCTACCAAGTTGTCTCTCCAGTTTGAGTTCCAAATTTATTCAACTAATGCTTATGTAGTGTCTTCTTTGCGTAAACCCCTGAACTCTAGAACTCTAGAGTACATTCCCGTGGAGAAACAATGGAGATATGCATTTATATGTAATTGTATAAGCCTTGCTTACTGTGTTTCTCATACGTTTTATTCATTATCCTGCTGATTAATTTTTAATCAATTTGATAGGTTTGTGGCTTTTTTTAAACAATACTAGGAAATTACATATCTGGAAACTCCCTTATTTTTAGCACAAAAAGGTAAGGGCCCTGTTTAAAAGATACGGTATGATATAAGTGAGCTAAAAAGTGCAAATGAGGATTGGATTGGGGGAGTAACCCAGTGGTAGAGCACTTGGTTTAGAATGTGTGAAGCTCTGGATCTGATTCCAGTACTCCAAAAAAAAAAAAAGTATCTGAATCTCAGAAAATCTCTTATTATGAATATATCATGCAAATTCACTGAAGAATGTATTGGGAGTCTGTCATTTTGTGTTGATCTAAAATATTTGTGTTAATCTGAAAAAATAAAACACAAACACAAGCATATTTTCAAACACTCAAGTGATTAACAAAATAAATCCAAGACATTTATTTATTCATTTTGCATTAAAAATAGTTGTACTGTTTACTCATTTTCTTGGATTAGCTATATATGCCAGCTATTTTATGATAATGAAACTTGTCTTTCTAGAAAACTTTTATTGAGCTATTGAAGGAGGGTGACAAAAATATTTGTTACCAGAACTTGTTACATTGTTTTAGAACCTACAGAGAAACTGATGCAATAGTTCAGTTTCAATTCTTGAAGGCATACTTGTTTCAATTCAAGGATATAACGCATGGATAGATTTGATCCTGGATTTGATCCCCTGCCCAAGAGAAAAAAAAAACAGTTGTTGTTTCGAGGCTTTTAAGATTTGGGACCAGGGATGTAGATATGTGCTAGGCTTGGCACCCAGGAGCTTGGGATTCAGTTCCTGTTCTACTGCGTGGGAAGCACCTTGCCAGGAGGAGCCCATAAGCATTGCCTATTATAATCCCATTCTCGCACGCCCCCCCCCAAAAAAAACTGCCTTTCTCTCTCAAAAATTTTTTTTGTTTGTTTGCTTTGTTTTGTTTTGGGCTATACCCAACTGTGCTCAGGGCTTACTCCAGACTCTGCTCAGGGATAAATACTGGAGGGACTCAGATGACTATGTGGGATGCCAGGATCAAACTGTGTGGGCATGTGATATCCACTTTACTATCTCCATTCCACTCTCTTTCTCTCTCTCTGTATTTTTTTTTTCTTTTTGGTTCACACCCAGCGATGCACAGGGGTTACTCCTGGCTCATGCACTCAAGAATTACTCCTGGTGGTGCTTGGGGACCATATGGGAGGCTGGGAATCAAATCCAGGTCAGCTGTGTACAAGGCAAATGCCCTCCCCACTGTGCTATTGCTCCAGCTCCTCTCTGTATATATTTTTTTAAAATAAGAATTGAAGTCCTCAAATCTACTTACTCTTATGCTTCCCTACCCCTTTCTTCTTACATAGTGGATCTATTTTTCCACAGTAATAGATTATATTTCTTGAAAGAAACATATTATTTTACAACACAAAGTCGTCTTTTAAACTGTTCCACCCATCTTGATGGATCTGTGCTTTTGGATCTGCACTGTCCTGCCTAGATGTGTCACTCACCTCCAGAGACCTCCAGCGGCCGCAGCCTCTGGTGTACTGACTCACAAATGAGCAACTTCCATGGATCCCAAAGCGTGTGACCCCTGTTGAACACTACAGCCAGAAGATGCACAAGCACCACTACTAACCTGAGTGCGACTCCCAGTGAGCATGTGTACGAGGAGCACAACCAAATGTGTGTTTCCCCAGGCCCCTGCAATAGGAACAGCAACAGCAACAAAGGGGCAAGAATCAGGGGAGGGTTTACAATCTTGATCACACAAATAGGGACCTGGGAGAATGGTCCAGGGGCCAGAGCACATGCTCTGTTTTTAATCACAACCTTCAGGTTTGATTCCCGACACCACCTGTTTCCCCCAGCACCTCTGGGAATAGGACCTGAGCACTGGATGTGACCCCAAAACAAAAGCAGAAATGAAAAATTGGGCCAGAGAGATGAATTAACAGGCTAAAGTGCAGGCTTTGCATCTGGGAGATCTGGGCTTCATCCCCACCAATAAATGGCCCTCCAGACCCCAGTCCTCCCTGTTTCCAGGAGTAAGCCTCAAGCACCAAGCCAGGCATAAGCCCTGAGCACCCCAAACCAACAACCAATCAACCAGCCTCTTCTCTTCCCCGCAACATGTACAAACTAGTAAGCCCATAGCATTCATTATTTTTTTTGCTTTTTGGGTCACACCCGGCAATGCTCAGGGGTTACTCCTGGCTCTGCACTCAGGAATCACTCCTGGCAGAGCTCGGGGGACCATATGGGATGCCGGGGATTAAACCCAGGTTGGCTGCATGCAAGGCAAACACCATCCCTGCTGTACTATCGCTCCAGCCCCAGCCCATTGCATCCTGATGTGTTCTTATCAAGGGTGCTGGGGTGACAGTCTTGAGCAAAATAATTTCTTATGTTACATGAGGTGATCCATAGAAATGGCTGGGTTTGTTGTTTGTCATATGATCTAGTGTGAAGAACAAAAGAATGCCTCCCTGAGGTGGTACCAAAAAACCTGGGTCTATTCTGGACTAACAACTTGACAACCCGGGGAAGGAGGGAGCCAGGATGCTCAGGTGAGGAGCAGAGGAGCAGCAGAAGAAAGAGCAGGGAACACTGAATGGACAAAAGTCTTGAAGGAGAAAGAGAAGAAAGTTTTTTTTCTTTTCTTTTTGGGTCATACCTGGCGATGCACAGGGATTACTCCTGGCTTTGCACTGAGGAATTACTCTTGGCGGTGCTCAGGGGACCATATGGGATGCTGGGGCACGAACACGGGTCAAGCAAATGCCCTACACACTCTACTATGACTCCAGCCCCAAGAGAAGAAAGTTTTAACTAGAGAGATGGTATAGCAGATAAGGCCGCCTTGCACATGATCCATCCAGGTTCAATGCTTGGCGCCACATATGATCCCCCGCAAACAAAGCCAGGAGTGATCCGAGGACAGCCAGGTGACTCAACCTCCCATTCATCCTCCTGAAAAGGGGGAAAAAAAAAGCTTTGCACGTTTCTCTGGACCTGGCCTTTATTTCCAAGAGTCTGAAAGTGATTTGTTTCCTCTTCTCCTTCTGGGCTCTGGCTCATGCCCCTTTGATATTGCCAAAATGATTGCACAGACTTCTGACCCTAACTCACTGCTCCGAAAGGGCTCCTGCACCTTCCCAATGGCTCAGCTTTGACAGTTCCTGCAACTGGGCTTGGTGGCACCCTCACTTCACTTGGAAGGAACACACGGAGGCCTGTGGACTCAGAGCAATCTGAAACCAGGAGGCTTAATTTCCTAGCATAGTGCCTGAGATGTGGATGTTGGGTGTTTTCCTGTCAGGAAACAAGCCAGTCAAATGGCACAACTCTGTGGACACCAATCTTAAAAACGGGGCTCTCGGGTAAGATGAAGGCAGACAAGGAGAGTTAAAAATGACACCAAACAATTGCTCATCTTATTTGCCCATGGAAAAGGGAAAAAACCGAGATGCATGTCATTTGGACTAAAAGAGGCATCTGGGAAAATATTGTGAAAATATTTCTGTTGACCAGAAACATAATTTCAGGGCCAGGGAAATGGCTCATAGGATCCCAGTTATGAGACTCTGAGCTGGATCCTGGGCACTGCGGGATGTAGCCAGGTGGCCTCTGGGCACTGACAGGCTGATACTGACCACTAACTGTCAGGCCTAGCTTTGCAGGGACTAGGGTCAAGAGAGGGAGCTCTGGAGCCTAGTGGGGGAGATTCCCCTGAAAAAGTTAAAAAGCAATACAAAAACATAGTTTTAATGGAAACAATATTTCTCTGAGTCAGGGTGCATAAAACAGTTTTATTACAGTTTAAAATTATGAACTCCCCCGATCTGGGAAGGCAGCTCAGCTGCAGAGCCCTTGGCTTGCATGTGTGAGACCTGGTGATCTGATCACAACAGGAAGAATAACAACAAAGACCACAATTACACTAAGTAGAGAGTGAGTGAGAGAAATAGGCCACCAGGAAAGACTGGCAATAATATATCTCCTCTCCAGAATGAGTCTGCCCCAAAGAGGCTGTGAAAAAAGTAGAAATAGCATTAAACTATGAGCAACTTACCCAGAGTCAGCAAGTGTTTTTTTTTTTTTCTTTTTTCTTGCTGCTGTTGTTTTTGATCACACCTGGTGATGCTCAGGGGCCATTTCCAGCTCTGTGCTCAGGACTGACCCTTGGCCATACTCAGGGGACTATATGTGGCTTGGATGTTCGAATCAGATTTGTTGCATGCAAGGCAAGCACCTTACCTTCTGTGTTTTCTCTCTGGCCCCTGAATTATTTTTGTTTGGTTAGTTTTGGGTTGGGAGTCACACCCAGTGGTGTTTAGGGTTTACTCCTGGCTCTGTGCTCAGGGATCACTCTTGGCAGTGCTTGGGAAACAATATGGGCTGTTGAGATTGAACCCCGCTATTTTTCCAGCCCTGTGTATTCTTTTTTAGAAGAGGAACAATGAAAATATCATTAGAACTCATGTGCCCACTTAATTCTTTTCGTTGTTGTTGTTTTTATTTGGGGACCACATCTAGCAGTACTCAGGGGTTACTCCTGGCTCTGCACTCAGGAATCATTCCTGGTGGTGCTCAGGGGACCATATGGGATGCTGGTGATCAAACCCAGGTTGGCCGCATGCAAGGCAAGTGCCCTCTCTGCTGTACCATGTTTCCAGTCTCAAGCCCACTCATTTTTATTTGATGAAGAGAAAGGTCTTTCTGTTAGTTTTTAAAAAATATTGCTGAAAATAATGTCTACTTTCTATGAGTTTTTTTTTTTTTTTGGTCACACTCGGCAATGCACAGGGGTTACTCCTGGTGCATGCACTCAGGAATTACTCCTGGCGGTGCTCAGGGGACCATATGGGATGCTGGGAATTGAATCAGGGTCAGCCATGTGCAAGGCAAACACCCTACCCACTGTGCTATTGCTCCAGCCCCTCTATGAGATATTTTATGAAGATGAACAGATATTTTGAGAAAGCAGTTCAGAACAAACTAAACTTCCTTCATGGAGGAGGCAACCTGCTGGGCAGAGTGGACTGCTCTGGGCTGAACCCCACAAAGGAGCTGAGGGGTGGCTGAGCTTCAAGCCTATGCCCTGGACCCCAGGTAACAGCTCTCCTCCCTGCCCAGAGCCTGTGAGCCTGAATATGCCCTCCTGAATCTGAAGTCCTATTTCTGAGAACCCGATCGAGCAGGCCGGCGTGGGTCTGGGAACGGATGTCTGGAATGAGCTGCTGTTTAAAACTGGCTCAGTCTGGCTGGATGGCAGGAGAGAGAATGGATCTGGCTTCTGGCTCTGAACTTGACAGAACATCCAATGAAACCCTCCTGAGTTCATTTTGACATGGGAAAACTACAAGCAGGACCTCTGAGTGACCCTTGCGAGGGCAAAGATGAATAGGTCATAAATCACAAAGTTAAGACAAGA